CAGTTTAAAAACAACAACAACAAAAAAAAACAAAGGTTACTTATTTGCCTAAAATGAAATTCTCTCCATATGAGCTCAGCTGTCATGAGTCTTCTCCCATCAACCGAGGGTGACTGTCACCAAATATTGAAGTTACGTAGCCCATACCCTCACTAACTAGTTGGGATGACTTCAATCATCTGGCCCTTCTTTAAGACTGATCTTTTGTGGGATTGTGTGTGTGTAATTAATTTTTCTCTCCTTTAAATCTATTTAGAAGGTTTAGTTATGTTTTTCCCCTCCTCGGCACCTTATTGGATTCGATGACTGGGAACGTGGAGACTACAAGAGGCAATGCCTGCATGTGGACTCATCAAAGGATCCTTGTTACAGGGTAGTAAGGACTGCTTCAGGCCTTTTATAAATGGCATTGAACACACTATTTGTCTTACAAAATATTCCTGGCTGATAGAGAATTGATCTCCAGAGATTGTTGGCTCCGCAGGATGCACATCTTGCCATGAACATCTTGTCCATGCTTGGATTACTTACCATTCCAGAAACCTATGATGTCTCCTGCATTTACAATATGGCTAGAATTATTTTGAATGCTACAATTTTATTTTTTAGTGATAAATTTAGGTTCACACTCAACTTTGTTTAGCAAGTGTTCCCCGTGCACATTTTGTGTAAATACCAAATGTAAATCTGCCCCGGGTCGTGCAGGCCCTGGCCTCCATAACTCCTGCAGAAGTCTTCCCCCCCTCTCCCCCCCACCTACATTACCTAGGTAACTGGCACACAGGAAGCAGTCACCTCCCCTCCCATCTGATGGTAGGAGGGTCCCAGGCCCTGAGGTCACATTTGGATCTAGTGTGGCCACACCTTTTCCCAAAATTGGCACGCCTCTTCCTGTCCTTGGCCTAGAAAAGTCCTGGGGGGTGGGGGGGAGGTGTGAAGGGTAGCAGTCTGGTAAATAAACTTCTATTCCTGACTGAATACCTTGTGGTGTGTGTGGTGTTCTCTTTATCTGCTATCTAATTTACCTAATAATCTCGACCTGTGAGATATTATCTACTGAGAATACATCACATCAGGATGAAATCTGGCTGTTTGAATTAAGTGGGCAACTGAGAGTAATAAATTCTATAATTTATACCTTTGCTACATTATTTTTTCTTGCAGTTAGGATAAAGCAAGGAGTGGATAAAGTATCAGGCAGCACAGAAATCCTTCAAAGATATTTGTAGATTAAATCAACCCAGGATTTCTTTTCTTTTGCAAGATAGATGAGAAGCCAGCCACTTGTGGCTCAAGCCTGTAATCCTAGCCATTCTGGAGGCTGAGATCTGAGAATCAGAGGCAGGAAAGTCTTTGTGACTCTTATTTCCAATAAACCAACAAAAGCCAGAAGTGGAGATGTGGCTGCAGTGGTAGAGTGCCAGCCTTGAGCGGAAAAAGCCAAGTGAGAGTGTTAGGCTCTGAGTTTAAGCTTTGGTATCCATATTTAAAAAGAAAGTAAAGATAGTGTACGATGTATTAAATAGGTAGGTTTCATTAGGTAGCCAATGAAGAGAACACCATGGGCTATTCAGGCAGGAGAAGAAGTTTATTTACTGAATATTTATTGCCCCTGCTTTGCATGGTGGAGAGGTATGGCTGAAAAGGAAAGGGTAGTGAACCACCCTTGGGCCAGGACTTATTTAGGCCAGGGACAGGAAGAGGTGTGGCCAGGTGGGCAGGTGGGGGAAAGGTGTGGCCACACAGGATCTGGATGTGACTTAAACGTCTGGGACCCTCCTAAGGCATGTGACCAGAGGTACCCTGGATGTGACCTAGCAGGAGGGGAAGGTGACTGCTTCCAGGTCTGCCAGTTACCTAGGTAACAGATACTGGGTGGAAACTTAGACTAGAGGTAGGGAGGTGTCCCTGTGCAGACCTTCCAGATAGAAAAGGAGAAACCTCACTGTTCAGCAGATCTGTCCAGCATGTATTCATAAGTATATCATCCATCTTCCTTCCTCCCTCCTCCTTCTTCCTCCCTCCCCTGCTCCTTCCTTCCTTCCTCCCTCCCTTCCTTCCTCCCTTCCTTCCTTCCTGCCTTCCTTCCTTCCTTCCTTCCTTCCTGTCTCTTTCTTTCTTTTTCTTCTTCCTTCCTTTCTACCAATCATGTGTGTCTTACTTGATACCTGTGAAAATTTAAACTAGAAGAACAGACAATGAAGATATAGTCTGCATTTTCAACTCTGGCATCAAGGATTGTGGTTCCTATTTTGCTTTCATAACAACTATGGTTATATGCTTAACTAGGTCTTAAAAAGAATAGATATAGTGCCTGTACTAAGAGTTTACTAGGGTCCTGGACTCTTGTTGGTGCTGGAGGTGTAACATCAAGCAAAGCAGCCTGCCCACAGAAAGCTCACATGGGACCACATTAATCTGTGTGTACAGAACAATAATCAGTTGTAGAAGACATAGAATGTTATGAGGAAAGTAGTGTGTAGAAAAATGGAGCAGGAAAGGAGAACAAAGGTGTTCTGTATATACTAATTATAGCTTTATGAGATGAGACGGCACTGTAAATAGCCTGGTACCAATTCTTCAATATAAATTATATTTCCCTTTGAGAATGGTGGTGCAGGCACAAGTGAATGATGCCTTAAGCAACTTTACAAAGATTCATACTCCCTATGGTAAAGTCTCCTCTTTTCAAAAAAAATAACATACATTGATTTCCTTTTCGTTTTTTTGTTTCATATTTCTTAAGGTTTTTTTTTTTGTTGTGGGTCATGGGGCTTGAACTCTGGGCTAGAGCGCTGTCCCTCAGCTCTTCAGCTCAAGGCAAGCGCTCTACCATTTGAGCCACAGCGCCACTTCTGGTTTTCTGAGTGGTTTATTGGAGATAAGAGTTTCATAGACTTTACTGCCTGGGCTGGCTTTGAACGGTGATCCTCAGATCTCAGCCTCCTGAGTAGCTCGGATTACAGGCATGATCCACCGGCGCCTGGCATCATTGTCTTAAGACCATTTTGTGTTGTTACTACAGATTGGTTAATTTATGAAGAACAGAAACATGTTTCTCACCATTCTAGAAGCTGAGAATTTTTAGGATGAAGAGCCACATTTGGTGACTGCCTTCTCTTGCATCATCCTGTGTTTAAGAGCAGATAAGCAAAAGAGCATGTGTGAGAATGAGACTGTATTTGCAGCCTTAAACTCTTACTAACAGAGCATTCAATTCACAAGGATAGAATCCTTAGGCTCTAAATGACTCCCCTGAGACTCCACCTCCCAACTGTGTTCCAATGGGGAACCAATATACTGTCTCTGGAAACAACATTCAAACTGTATCAAAACAGCTTTGTACTTTTGTGAGGATTACAGATGAAACATGTTTGCAAAATGTCACAGGCTCTAATTGTAGGCCTCCTGATAGCTGCTACTATTAATAGAAGCACATCTGCTCTTGGACAAGTTAGTGAAGAATAAAGTGTTAGCCTACTAATATCTTTCTGGGAAATTTAGAACAAAAGGGATCTAGGATTCAAGCCAGGAATGAGTCATCCTACATTCTTAACTATCTATTGATGACAAAGGGCTTTACTAATACCTTGTTAGAGATGGACAAGATGTGAGCCCCACCACCTCTGATCTATGCATGTGTTTCCTTCCATAGTCAAATTCATCTCTTCTCAATAAAACGTTGTGTTGTCTTTATTAAACATCAAAAGAACCTTATTAACAATAATGAAATAGATAGAAATAGATTGATTGGGGGCTGGAAATGTGGCTTAGTGGTAGAGTGCTTGCCTAACACGCATGAAGCCCTGGGTTGAACTCCTCAGTACCACATGAACAGAAAAAACCGGAAGTGGTACTGTGGCTCAAGTGGTGGAGTGCTAGCCTTGAGCAAAAGAAACCCAGGGACAGTGCCCAGGCCCTGAGTACAAGCCTAAGACTGGAAAAAAAAAAAAAAAAAAAGATGGATTGCAATCTACAGATGGCTGGGTGCTAGTAGTTTATCCTGAAATCTTAGCTATTCAGGAGTCTGACATCTGGCGTTCAAATCCATCTTAAGCAGGAAAATCTGTGAGACTCTTGTCTCCAATTAACCATTAAAAAGCTGGAAGTGGAGGTACGGCTCAAGCATAGAGCACCAGCCTTAAGTGATCAAGCTAAGGGACAGCTCCAAGACCTTGAGTTCCAACTCTAGTACCAGCTTGCCCTTTCTCCACACCCCCTTCCCCCCAATAGATAGAAATCCGTTTGATCGTGTGATGACCCCGTGCGTGGGCAGGCGTTTCCATCACCTCCAGCTGCACCCGTGGGGTGCACTCAAGGGTAGAACGTGGGGTGCACAGGCCGTCGGGAAAGCCCCTGTGGACACTGGTCAGGTGTATTCCTTTCACAGGCCCCGGATGGGAGTTCATTCGTGCAGTAGTCCTGGAGAGACTTGAAAGAGGTTGTCCACCTCCTTTCAGCTCTCCAGAGGAGGTGGTGACCACCCCCAAACTCCATGCTGGAACATTAGGAGAGCCTCAGACCTGAACAGCAAGTTAGAGTCTCAACATCACCCTCGGTCAATGAAGCTTTTACAGAAGGGGGCGGAGCCTCTTGAGGAGGCGGGAGCTGAGCGTGAGTGTGCCGAGCCATGCGGGCCTCCGATTGGCCGAGACGGTTGTCCGTCCGTCTCTCCCCCCTCCCCTCTGCCCCACCTCCGGGCGGCCTCGCAGCGAAGCCGCGGGCGCGAAGAGCCGGCAGGCCGGGCCAAACCGGCGGGGGGGGGACGAGCCGCGGAGGCGTGTCGGGGCGGGGCCCGGACTCCGGGGCGGGGCCCCGGCCTCGCCCCGCCCCGGCCTCTCGGCGGCTCCCTCCTCCCTGGCGCCGCGTCCTCCTGCTCGCTCAGTTCTCACTCCACGTTCCACGCCGCGGCCTCGCTCCCCGGTGAGGGCCAGCCGCTGCGGCCGCCTCGCACGCGCCCGGGGCTGCGAACACCGACGCCCGCTCGCTCCCTTCGCGCGCTCGAGGTTCGGCCACGGCGGACGGGCGGGCGGACAGGCCGGCGGACCGCGCGGGGAGCCGGTGTCGCGGTCGGGCGGGCCGGCCATGGAGGCGGACGGGGCCGGCGAGCAGATGAGACCGCTACTCACCCGGGTAACAGCGCGGGGCGCGGGCGCCGCGGGCGGCGGGGACCCGGGGCCCGGCGGGGGGCCGGGAGGACGCGGGGCGAGGCAGACAAAGGCGGCGGGCGGCGTGGCGGGGCGGCGTGGCTGGGCCGCCGGGGTCCCGGGCGGGCGCCCCCTCTCTCCCGGCGGCTGCGCGCCTCGCCGGCCCCTTTGTGTGGCTGCCGGAGCGCGAGTGCGAGCGGCGGCTGGCGGCCGGAGGCCCCGGCGGGCGGCGGGCATCTCCGGTACCGCCCATCCATCCCCGCGCCGTGCGGCCGGGACGGCGTTCGTGGCCCGGTGCCCCCCGTTCCCCCCCCTTCCCCCGGTTCCCGCACGCTCTCCGGAGCGGGGCCCGATGCCTCGGAGGAGGGCTGCGTCTCCACCTGTCTGGGGCTCCCGGCGGTGGCGCGGAGTTGGGCCGGTCCGGCCTCCGCGGGGCGAGCCCCGCCGCCGGCTTTGTTCCGGGAGTCCTCGGGCCGCCGGTGACTGCCTCCCTCCTCCTCGTCTGGCCCGAGCCGGGGGAGGGAGAGGGCGGAGGCCGTCGGTGTCCCCCGACTCACGGAAACCCACCGCTGCGGGTGACGCTGGTTGCTGGCGCGTGGTTTGGAGGGGATTGGGGGGCCTGGGAGGGCGATCGCGGGGTGATGGGTGAGACACGTCGGTCCTCATGGACACTCCACGTGTCCCGCAGCGGCTGAGCAGTCAGTCTCTTCCTTCCTCGCTGGTGACTCAAAGGACATGGAAAGTTATGAATTTTCCTCCTTCCACCAACTTGTTGTTGTTGTTGTTGTTTTTAAACTCTCAGCCCAGAGTGGTTACAGGGGAAAAAAAAATTTCCAGTCTTTCTTCCACCACGAACAGGAAAATCGCGTTTCTCTCTTTTTTTAAGCAGCGTTTTCCTTACCACCGCCCCCCCCCCCCCCCCCCCGATTGTCGAGGCCTTGGAGAGCAGTCATTCGTTACCTAAGCGAGTGCACTCATGAGCTCTCTAAATATAGAGGACCGCCGTCTGTAGTCTGAATGCACGCAGTCAGTACGGGCCTGGGAAGAGCCTTCTCGGAGCTGGTAATGGAACACCAGAAACGCGGAGGGAATCTGCTGTCACGCTTTGTGTGGCCTTTCTCAATAACCTGTTCTGTTCTCTCGGAGTGTGCACGAAGTACACTGTTGCTCGTAATTTGCAGATTTTCACTTGAGCTGTAAAGAGCATCTGAGTTCAGGAAGCAGGAGGGAAACTGATGTGTTCTCGCTTATTACCTGCTTAGCTAGCTGAGGAAGTATAGAGGTCATTGGTCTCCATTCATTGGGGGTTACAACACTTGTTTAGAACCTGTTCTGTAGTGTCCAAAGAAACAGAACCAGCTTTTACCCCAAGATGGGGGTGGGGGAGTGGGGGGGGGGGGAGACAAATAACAAAGGAATTCCCAGGCTGTCTCCATGCTGTTATTAATGGCATGGCAGGAGAGAGAGCTTCAGAAGTTACACCTATTAAATCTTCGGGAAGGTGAGATGTGGATCTAGTAAACCTATACAAATTAATAATTGAAATCAAATTACAGTAAGCTAGCCAGTGTAAAAATAGAATGGAGAAACAGAAATAGGATGAAGTGATCGAGAACACTATGATTTGAAAACGGGGAAGAGTTTCTCATCCATTCCCCGCCGCCCCCCCCCATGAAAGTTATAAAAGTGAGGAACGATATTTGTTAGGTGTCACTTTTGCTTACCATATCCAGTAAACTGGAATTAATGTTCATGTCATCTTAGATGTCTAATTATGCAAAAACTTGAATAAGTTGGCAGCAGTTTATATTACTCTGAAACTGAAGTCCATCTGTTTTATAATTTAGGACCTTCGTTCTTCTGAATCTTTTTCCCCCCCTGGTCATGAGGCTTGAACTCTGGGCCCTGAGCACTGTCCCTCAGCTCTACAGCTCAAGGCTAGCGCTCTACCACTTGAGCCATGGCGCCACTTCTGGCTTTCTCTGTTTATGTGGTGCTGAGGAATCGAACCCAGGGTCTCATGCATGCAAGGCAAGCACTCTACCACTGAGCCACCTTTCCAGCCCTTCTGAAACTTTTTAATGTAGTAGGTATGGAACTCAGTGCCTTGCTCCTGGTAGGTAGATATTCTGCCACTGAGCTATATTCCCCAGTTCTTTTTAAGACAGGATCTGTGTAGCCCAGGTGACCTCAGTCTCTCAAGTACTTGAGATTATAGATATGTACCACCATGCCTTGATGCAGCTTTCTTTAGATTTGATTTAACAGAGAAAACCCCAATAACTCAAAAACTCAAAACCCCAGCAACTCATCATTGGTGCTTGTCTAGCATGTACAGGCTGTGTGGGATTCAATCCCTAGCACTGCAACAGATAAACAAAAGCCAAATCCCCCAAATTTATTGTTGTAGATATCGCTTAGAATTGATAATTGATCTAATTTTCTACTATAAGTCAATTCTGTTATAACAAATACCACTGATTAGAAGGTTAAGCAAACAATCTAGTTTATCTTTAGCAGAGATTTAACACAACTGTTACCAATTTTGATATCCGTGAAATATACTGTTCTATAATTTCTTTCCTTTTACAGATATTAAGTATCTCATGGATTCCAGGCACTGGGAAAATGGACAAACAAGGCAGGCAGTTTGTTTTGGCATGTGGAATGAACACAGTGATGGCATTTACATTCATTCCATTTATCAGTGCCAGCAAAAACACTTCATGGGTCTGTTAGAAATCTTTTTAAACAGTGATTATTAGAATAAATGAAAGGTAGTACTGGCCCAGTTTGAATTCATTTTGGAAGGATTTTTGTAAGTATGTATGTAAGCATTCTCTTTGAGGAACTGTAGTTAGCTTTTGGTAGTTCTGTCAGTGTGTCACTTCAGCATTAAGTTGCCTTTTGCCTTACTTTGATGTCATTGGACCACAGTCCATGGAGTTGTAATAAAGGAGGGACTGCATTCTGTCATCCATCCAAATGAAGCTGTAGGGTATTGAGTTGTAATGAAGAGTTGGTCATTTAGGTCGGGGAAATGTATGGGTTTTCTTTTAAGAGAGCCTAGGGAGTAGAAAATAGACCCAGTTTTGTTGTACTCCACTTCTGTTAGTTGAGTAGGTTAAAATCGAAAGCCAAAGCAATCTGGCGTTGGAGGAACCTGGTACATTATGTGGTATGTGGTGTGGTAACCAGTATATTTTACTTTGGTAGTGACACTTGTTAGCATCCTGTAATGGGTTGTTTTTCTTCCTCTTCCTCCCCTTGCTGTGTCTCACCACAAGTCTTTTTTTAAAAATTGTTTTTTTATTTTATTTTTATCTTTTAAGTAATAGTACAGAGAATTTTGATCAGTGTCGCCTTTTAGGCCTCCCTCATCCCTCCCAACCCCATGCTTCCCTCCGTTTTCTTAATTTTGTAGAATATGCATTGAGTTTTATAACTGCATTCTCCCCTTCCTCTCTTCATTTGTCTACCCCTCCCCGCTTGGTCCTGCTCTCCAGACACTTTCCAGTACCTAATTCCTAGTGTTTTATTTTGTTGGACTGTCCCTACAAGTTTTCAAATGAATGGGATCTTCAGCTGACAAAACGGCTCATTCATGAGGAGGATATACAGATTTCCATAGGGGTAATGCTTGGGGTTTCTACTGTACTTGCCTTTCCTTTTTGAGACAGGGTTTCACCATGTAGCCCTTGCTGGCCTTGAAATGTAGATCCTCTTCTTCCTCCCCCTATGGCTGGGATTACTGGCTGTGTAGTTGCTATTTTTTGTGCTTGGAGTGTTTTTCAGTTTGCCATAAAGCTTGTATCAGTAATAAGATATTCAAACATTCTGGGCTAACATGGAATTTGCTTCTGTTTTGTCTAAGAAGACACAACCTTGCAGATTTTGCTGGGATTTTACAGTTTGGGAGTGTTCGGGATTGTTTGTACTTCAGCTATGTTGCAGGGCTGAACATTGCTGGAGGACCGGCTCAGGCCTATCCCTATAGTGTGCTAGGTTGCGTAAACTGATGACATTTCTTCCAGAGGCTACACATTGCCACTCTATTAGAGAGTGGCCACGTCTGTACTTCTTCCAGGATTTGGATTAGAAAAAGGGTGTGATAATGATAGATTTGCAGTTTTATCTGGAGCTGATTAGTGCAGATAGGTTCAAGATTGGCTGTTGTAAGCAGATTTTCAGATTTCCTCTAAAGAGGATATTTTAAAATGTATTAACCTTTCTTAAGTCATGCTTTGGATGTTTTTTGTTTCCTTTTTTTGATTTTTAAAATTCAGTCTACAGAACAATCCAATTCATCCTGACATTTGCAACACATATGTAGTGTTTTTTGACCTTGGTAGTTTGGACTTTAATGAGCCTATTTTTTTTTTTTTTTTTTGGGGGTCCAGTCGTGGGCCTGAACTCTGGGCCTGGGCACTGTCCCTCAGCTCTTCAGCTCAAGGCTAGCGCTCTACCACTTGAGCCACAGGGCCACTTCTGGCTTTTTATTTTCTGCTTATGTGGTGCTGAGGAATCGAACCCAGGGCCTCGAGCATGCAAGGCAAGCGCTCTACCACTGAGCCACCTTCCCAGCCCTTTAATGAGCCTATTTAAGCAGCATTTTTTGGCAGTAGCAAAGGAAGCTTGAAGCACAATCTTTTTTTTTTCTAATAGAAGAGTTTCAGTAATGTTAAATATTCTTTTTTCTTTTGCAGTGTTATGTGGATTGTCATTGGGTTCTTCTGTTTACACTTTAGTCACTATGTAAACTATCTTCTGTCTTTGGATTCCAGTGTATTGCTTATTTTCTGTGAGACTGTCCAGTGTGGAGAATCTGTTGAATTGTATTGTCTTTGATTAGGAACGTGTGAAATGGATATACCATTGAAGGTAGATTCTCACTTGAGAAAATGCCTGTACCCTGTTTTATTTAGAGCTAGGGTGGAATTGTTTCTAAAAAGAGCAGGAAAGAAGGGAAAGTGATATTTAGTACAT